TCTTTTCACCATGCTAACAGTAATTTGCACTGGTTTTAATCTTGCAATATTTTGCTCCTGAGTATTTTTCAGATAGACCAAAACATGCGTGTAGAATTACCTCTCCTTACTTTATAGCTTCCCAGATATTTAGTCTTGTCCGCCACTGCCGTGTCCCCTGCCTTTTGATCTGCATCCTTTATCCACCTGTCACTTCAGGCACAAACAAGAAAACAACCAACATTATTATCTCGTGTTATTATGTTGGCCCTAGAGCTACATACTACACTTCTGGATCTCTGGAAAGAGATTAGCTAAGGAATGAAGGGCTGTCATCTAGATACGATGCCTTCATTTTCCCCCGGGTATTAGAAATTTTTCTTTTTTTAAAAAAAAAAAATAATAATTTTGGTATGTAGCTTAGGAGCCTGGCTGAACTTCTCTGGAAGCACTAAGAAAGGGGACAGGCAAAAAATTTCGTATTTATTCCAAACTTTAAATCGTTACACTGAGGTTGAGATATGAGACTACATTGCCTGCTGAATTACCTGGGGCTTGTTCAGATGGTGACAGAACAGAGTGCCTGTTCCCTGCCCTCCCATGAAGCCAGCACAAATTTAGAATTTACCTGTGACTAGTAGAGATTATGTGCTGACAAAACTCTTTCATCCTCTCTGTGCAGCTTTCCACACAACAGCGAGGCAAAAAGTCCTTATTGTAAAATGCCTTGCTACACTTGGCATGATAACCAGGGCATCCTGGTATTGCTGCCCAGATTTTAAATTGCAACCTGCTTTGTGATGATGGTACAATACAAGTCAATGAAGTTGCATCAGACTAACAAGACTGACTTGAGATATTTTTCTTCTGGGACTTACTGCCTTTCACTTTTTTTGCCTTCTGAACACAGTTTCTATTTGGGTGTTTTTTCTTATAGTCTTAGCATTTTATTAGCTTTCCTATGAATAATCTTTCTAAAAAATATTCATTCTTTGGAGCAACAGCAATTGATCTTCTCTCAGAGAAATGAGAAAAGCTGCTTTTAGCTTACATACGAGGTGTATGTATGTCTGTAAGGGCGTATGATGAAGGGGATAATGTTTTGTGTTGGGCTTCCTCCTCCTTGGTGTGGTGCAAGGAGTGAAGACAGTGAGTTCTGAGGGGTGAGGGTGTGCTCTGCTCTGTTCCATGGCTTTAGAGGTTTTGTGCATGAGCTGGAAACAAAAGAATCCTGCACAGAGGCTTTCACAGTTGGCATCTTCCCATTTCTCTCCCCTTCCTCACCCTCACGTCTCCAAACAGGGCAGCAGGAACACCCACTCTTGCATGAAAAACACACAGATACGATTTCACCTTCGTGTCCCTCATATACTGAAATCTTGATTCAAAGCTTGGCAAAATCCCAGTACCTCTTCCTGCAGGCACTTCTAAAATCTCATCGTCATAAAATAGAAGAACCACACTGACAACATTTCAACCTCTTTATTTTCCGAAAGCAATTATTTTAGCTTTTTGCTAGTTTTCACCATGCCAAGTTATTCTGTATTTCTGTAATTAGTGTACCTGTCACAGGAGTGAATCAGAGAGAAAGAGAGACTCGCACAGAAGAGCAAGCAAAACATTCTTTCCACCACTTGGCATTAAGGGAACTGGCAAAAAAAAAAAAAAATTTAAAAAGTTTAAGATTTAGCTTTTTTTGTCTGTACATCACTCATGGCTGTGAAAGGTATTCTATTCTAGTGCACTGGGTTTATATTTCCCCATTTGTCTGAGGTGGTCTTTCGCTGAGGGAAAGGGGAGTGTGTATGTTTCTGGTTTTCTGGGTTTAGATATACATATACCTGCGCATATGTATACACACCTGGTTGTGTATATCTGTGTGTGAAAACACATAAATATACACACCTCTGTGTGTGTACATATATGTACACGTGTTTGTATCTGTGCATGAGGTTGTGTATGTGTGAGATTCAGTTTAGGTTATGTTAAACCCAGTTTACAGTTATAGCAGGAGATGCTGTAAAACCCATCTGTCTCAGCTTTAGGAACTGAACTGACTTAAAGCCGAGAGCCAGTGGATGTATACAACTCATCCATAGTGACCGGCTACAATTCTGGCTGTTGAACAGCTGTTGATGGATGGCAGATTGAAAGTCATCACTGTTGATCGATCTGTAATTTACTTGTTAATGATATACAAGGTTTCATTGTGACAAGGAATCAATAATGAATGCTTTATGCTTTAACAACATAAAGACATAGGAGTTACTTTGAGTAGAAAAATGTCCCGTTCTACTATTTTTCTCCAACAGTGATCCATATGGTGCGTTACTAAAAAGAAAACAACTGCAAGTGAGCAAATATGAAATACTGCAGACATAAATCCTCACTGCTGTTTTTCTACCAAGATTGCCTTTTTTATCTGGTCTATGAAGAGTATGAAAGAGTACTCGCTTATAAAGCACTGTTGTTATCATTAGCTTTTTCTCTAAGGCAACCTTTCTTTCCTTCCTCGTTTGTATATGTCTTAAATGGTTGACCAATATTTTTATTAATTTTAATTAATCTTTTTGGATTCCTATCTCCTATATATTGTCTTAGTGAAATAGGTTACCTGAATTCTTTTAGTATGTACAGCTAGAGTAAATTATGGATTTGTAAATGATCTTATATTTCATTAGCAGTATTTCTGTGCTCTTCATACATAGCCTGAAATGCTGTTCCTTTTTTGACCTGTAACACCTTTTGTCCTCAAGCCGCTCACCTACAAGTCTCTGAAACACTCAAATTTTTCTAAACGTGACTAAGCTGAAAATATTTTTTTTAATCTTGCTCTCTAGTAAATACATTAAATACAAGTTCTGCCTGGACCACACTTTTAAGCGTTTGAAATATTAAGTTGGTTTTTTTTTTTTTTTACTTTTTGTCATCTCTCTATTTAGAACATAAAGCACCTGTTTCTGTTTCTTTTTTTTTTTCATAAATGGAGGAGTAGGTACTTTATCAATAGTTGTTTTTTTTTTATGAATAGTACTCTAATTATTCCCTTTAATGTAATATTAATCCAGTTTTTATTAGGTATTGTGTATAATGGCAAAAATTTGAAAAGGAGTCCCCACCATCAGTCACTTCAATTGCACCATCTCAGAGGCTCCCTCAGTAGCACAAATATGATTAAAACCCCTCTGAAGTACTATAAAATCCTTGGCAGTACCACCGTCTCTCTGGAAGCTTTCAGGAGGGAGATCTCCTCTCCAAGTAGTTTTCTTAATACCATGTTTCATTTTCGTATTCACACCTGTTCATAGATCAACTTTGTTACAGGCAAGGGACTGTTAGAATTTCTCAAGTGCAAAAATTTAATGAATTTTCTTCCCCCTTGTCAATCTCTTACTTTTTAATTAACTCCAATCTAATGTCATGTCTACTGAAAGGATATTTATAAAATGTCTTGATATTTAATTTACATCTTAGATTGTTTATTTTCAGTGTTCTCTGCCGAGTGAGGTAAATTTTACCATGTTGCGATTTAAGCTGCTATAGGATGAATTCAGGATTACTTGCCATTTTCTTAGGAAAGTCTGTCAAAAAAAATATAAGATTGAGAGATTTTTTTTTAATCTTTTTGTTCATAATTCCTTTGTTATCCTGGACACAAATAGCTTATTCTATCCTAGACTGATGTTATCAACCATAATATTAAAAAAAAAAAAAAAGTTGCAGCCCCATCCCCATCCCTGGAAGTGTTCAAGGCCAGGTTGGATGAGGCTTTGGGCAACCTGGTGTAGTGGAGGATTTCCCTGCCCATGGCAGAGGGGTTGGAACTAGATGATCTTTGAGGTCCCTTCCAATCCTAACCATTCTGTGATTCTAAATGCCAGCAAACCTTTTACTGGATGCTGTTGGGAGTTTCTTGTTGAAGGCAAGTTTGCATTCATATTCCTATGAGCAAAGCTCATGTCCGTATACTAATGATTTTTTTCGCCTTTTTTACTAATATGTTGGATTATGTCTGATGTGTAAAAATATTCTATCTAGGCTTGACTCAGTTTCAAAAATCTTCAAGGGCTTATGCTAAACAGAAAACATTTCAGAGGAAGAGTTATATTAAAATTTAAAATAAAATTACTGTTACATTGGAAAGAGTCTTGATTACTTAAAACTTAAAAATCCCTCTCATTTATTTTCATTTCATTTAAATGTATCAGTTTTTGTAGCAAAACAAATAGAAAGTTCCAATATGAACCCATTTTAAAATAATGATCAAGATTATCAATATTTTACTGTATTTCACATTTTAATTTCTTTGCCTATGGCATCATTAATCCCACTCCTGAAGGGACTTTAATTTAATTACACCAGAAATTTCAGTGCTGGGTAAATCTCTGCTTAACTCGTAACATGAGATCTCTCCGGTTCAAAAATCTACTGTGTAATTAATTTTATTTATGCTGTTCAACTCTGTTTTCCCTTATATTAAAAAGCATATTGGCAAAGAAAATTACATTATTGCTGGAATAAAATGACAGCAATGAATCTAACAAGCTTTTCTGTACCTTGAGAGTCATCTGAATTTCCCATTCAGGGAATTATTATACATATCCTCACTGAGGGATTATTATACATAAGAGATCTAGCAGTTTAGACAAGAGAATAGTAATAGAGAAGTCCTAACTGTAATGCTAGTTTTCAGCTGTTTGTTACTATTTCCTCACCTATAACAGACAATTATAATTACTTATCTGTTCGATGGGACCACTGTAGGAATAAACTTCACTATTTGTGATGAGGAGAAAAAAGCTAGGTAAGTGTTAAGCTGTTAAATTTACAGCCACATTACAGCCACATTAGACTATTATAGGGATGATGAGAGTATGGGATTCACTTAGCTGTGTTAACTTTGTTTTGTTACATTTGATCAACTAGGCTAAAAAAAAAAACACTGTGATTTTTTTAGAAAAAACATGAATATTTTAGGGAAAAAAAAATGAAGTAGTTATCTCTGGCATTTGCATTGACAGGTTGGCAAGACGTGTTCGGGGAATCGCAATAATTCAACGTCTCATTTGAAGACAGCAGAAGCAGAGAGAAGCCTTCAGGTATTCTGTTTCTGAGGAATTACCAGGTTTTTATTAAAAGGTCTTCTAAAGCATGCAATTACTTCAAATATATTTACACATTCCACACTGACACTTTTGAAACAGAACTGTTTACTCAGTTCAGACTTTGACTGCACCTGATTGCAATTCATCTGTTCAAAATGATGCCTGGTTGGTAACAATTTGCAAAACTGTATAATACTCGCAGAAATTGACTGAGTAGTTAAATGATTTCATTTAATAACATGGTGTCCATAGCACTAGGAACAGGAGAAGGGAGAGATTTCCAAAATAATTATATACCTGCAATTATGCGAAGTTGCATTCAACCATGTTACCAACGGAGAAATCTTAAGCAAGTTGTATATGTGAGCTCTTCATTCGATAGACCAAGAGAGAAAGATAAAAATCACCATGATTATAAAGCGACATCAGACTTGCATGGTTTTGCACTGTCAAAGATTGGTTAATATGATTCCTTTAGTAGAAGTCAGAATCCTTTTCTAGATGTAGTTGACGAATATCATATTCTTTTTAGTAGTTTAAGCCTGGTACATCAGTTTAACAGAAGTACAGCTCTGTGTGCACTACTGCCATGGATTTTTAACGTTTTGTTATTTGTTACGTATGTGCATGTGCATATCATGTATGCAGTGCTTCCACTGATGCTATTTTCATTTTCAACAGAAGTTGCACAGCCCTCCGTGGACTAAACTCGAAGATAAAAAATCACCTGAAAGAAATGAGAAAAAAATTGAAGAGTCTGTTAGTACAAAAGAAAAAAAACTCTGAACACTACGAATCTGCATTAAAAAAGCCTATCACTTGCTTTCGTCTTCATATTCTTTTTAGTCCAGAGGCATGAAATGTACCAGGTTTCTAAAGCATGCATTTTTCACTATTTTATGAATGTTTGTAAATTAGTCTAGAATAGACCAATTAGTACCTTTCAGCAATAATCCAAAATGGATGTTTGAAGAAATGCTTTGTAATACAGTCTGGTTTTAGAACTCTTGTTCTACCTGATCAGTAACTGCATCCTATAAATTAGTTTATTTGTAAACAACAGCCATTCTCAAGTATTTTCTCAGTCTGTTCTATTTCATGTACCTTTATGACAGATTAGGATTTAAATCAAGTTAAGAATTAAGGGGCAGTTAACGTGGGGGAAAATAATATTTGTGTAAACATAGTTGAAATACAATACAACTCATAAGAGTAACTGTAAAAACAGAACAGTGGGAGTCCGTGTATACTTACCTTTCAGTAATACCATTTCAAATCTGCTTACTCAAACAATAAACGATATTTGTTTGGTTGTTTTTTTCTACTATCACAACTAGTCCGTGTTTGAGCACTGAAGCGTTGACAGAAATGCAGAGTTAGAGAGATGGAGATAGAGTGAGTCATGGCTTTTAGGATTCAAGCAAAAATTTTTTCAGGTGGAACCGAATTAAAATTTTATAGCTTGGGTACCAGTCATGGGAGGTCAATTCCACCCCTTATATTTGTGCTGATCTCAATAGGATAAATATACTTTAAACAGTAAAACCCCACTTTGTCCACTGAAGGTGGCCCTTGGTCACTCCAGCAGAGGCGTTTTGGTTGGGATAAGCTCTGCGACTCCTAGGGTTCTATTGGTTTCTCATAGGTCACATACTGTATGCCAAGAAAGCAGAAAGGAAGGGAGGAGAAGGAAGAGAGAATGCTTTTGCTTCTTTGTGCATATATCGTTATTGGTCTGATTTAGGAATTCATAGGCCTCATCTTGCGGAGATGCAAATCTTTCAAGAACTGATGCAACGCTCGTATGCTTTCCTCTTGCATGAAGTGTTTTAAGCAGTTGTTACTTTTAAACTCCCACCTTCCTTTGAAGGTGACAGCTGCATGTCACAACTTTTACTAGATTGAAAGTCGTTTAGTTGTATTAGTACACTTTTCCTTGCTTTTAAATCAGCTTAAAAAGCAAATAGACAAATTTTTTATTTCATTTAGTGGTGCTCACTGCTTCAGTTTTAGCTTTTAAGACTTTACCTATCTTTCAACAGTCTCATTCAATAGCTGTCTATTCCTTGCTGAATAATATTTCACCCTGGTGTCTTGTAAATGTTCCTCTACTCCAAGGTAGATGTTACAGAATGGTAGTTTTCTCTGCCTGGAGAAATTTCAACATTTTTAATAAGAAAAGAAACTCATGAGCTGACCAAATGATGGCAAAATACTGCTCAACAAAGTTACACTACTATCAAAGAAAAGATTATCCATGTTAGGTGGCAAAAGTAGTGAAAACATGGTCACAAAAATAATCAGAAAAGAGGTAATACTTTTCACATCTGATCCTAAAATCAATCATCATCAAATTGTACCTATCCAATACAATAAAAATTTGTTTCAGGCAAATATGATCCACATAGCAGACATTTGCTGCTTTTCAGTTATAGCCACAACACACCCGGCTGAAGACAGTCTGCTGTATTTCAGAGTTTTCAGTGAGCAAAAGACTTGTGATCCTGTCATATCAACAGCTGGCACTAATTTCTAGTTATGTCAAAACCAACGTTTCTTTGCATATGACACACCTTAACTGGAGTATGGGCTGAAAAGGTCACCGAAACTGTTTCAGTCATCTGTCTAGAAAAGACATGGATCTTCATGGACATGTCTCATAGGAATGAGGTAAGCTGTCCTACCTGGCATTCGTTTCACCTTTCTAAAGAATTCAGCAGTGCTGACAGCATATCTGCTGTTGTTATAACTGCTTATTAGTGCTGTTTCAAGAAATGGCTTGGAAGTGGTGTTCACAACATAAAAAAAACCCCGTACCTCATAAAAAGCAAGCTATATTGTTGCTGACTTTTTTATTATTTTTTTTATTATTATTATTTAACATGCATGAAACCAGTGAATGGTTGAGCAGCCTTCTGCTTTCTGGGAATGTGCATCATTTAATTGGTATTTCACCATCAGATAATTAATAAATCTGTTAACCGTCAGAAAAACAACACAAAATATTGCAGTGGGTGGGGTGTTGTGAGGTTGTTTTTTGGTTTCTTTTGTTTCCAAAAGATTTATTGTTAGAAGCTTTCTTCTAGCCATGGAGTCGTGATCTGGGGTATGTTGGCATGCATGTTTGCTTTCACTTTTGTATGTCCCTTTTCCTAGGTGACGGTGAAGATCAGGTGAGACAGAATTGAATAAAGCCATGTTGGTGGGGAAAATTAATTCTTTTGCTTTGATTAAAGCTGTAGAAATCAATTACGTCTAGTCTGAGGATTACTCGACTACCTTCAGATGGGACATTGATTGCCACTTGTTTTCAGTGTGATTAAAAGTTTTACTTCTTCCAGTTGATGACTGAGGGAATCCCTGCTTATCTTCATACTTACTGTTTTTAGAATAATCCACATAATGATACAGTATTAAGAAAAATAATCATGGATAAATCAATATTCTATCAGTATATAGTGTAGGTATAGCTGATATATTTTGTAGGTATAAGTTAACAAATATTACTACTCTGAAGATTCTAGTCTTACACTGAGAGATTGGTACACATCTGAAGTGAAATCTATCCTTGACGGTTGTATCTCAGAGAATGACAGTTCAAAAACATATTCATATTTTTTTCAGTTTGAGAGGAAACTTCTTTTCAATTTATACAAAAAAAAAATTTAGAGAGGACATTGGAATGTATAAGAGTTTGTGTGATAAAAGTCAAGGATTTTGAAAAGTAAGGAAAAACCCTTCACAATAATGCTTCCAAGTATTAACGTTGCTTGTCACTAGCAAAGGTGTGTGTATTTTCCCTCAGTGGATCAATAACCATTCTTTCATTCCAGCTGTGAATGTGAGTAGTTTCACACTCCAGTGCTGGGATGAAGCTAAGCAGACCTTGTTATTTCCCCTGATTTGTGGATACTCAACATTATAAAGAACATGGTCATAAAGGAACTTCAGTTTATACAATTTAAGTCACAGTTGCACTTACTTGGTCTCTCTAGAATGCTCTAAAACTCCTTTTATTATCAGGTTCAGAGAGAACCGTGTCACTGGGTCTGTTTCCCTGTGCGGATTCATCATACCACAGGCAACACATCTTAAGAAAATGTTTTGTAATTTCTCACAGTTGCCTGGCAACCAGGTCATGGACCATATCCTTCTCTTTGCAAATAAGGATTACACATAAAGAGACAAAACACGTTTCTGTTAGATGTTCCAAAGTCTAGCAGTTAAAAGCGATTTAATTTCCAGTTTAAGAGCAGGCTGAGCATATGCTCTTTGGTAAGAGAATGAGATGGATTTTAGATTGTTTCAAACTTCCATTACAATTTTCCTTTTGCATAATAGACTTCTTTGAGTTAATCTCTTTTTCTATCTATCTGTATCTATGTGCATATGTATTTGTAAGCATACATGCATATTATGTATATACATAAATTTGCATGTAAATATGCATATACATATATAAGTACATATGTAAATTAAAAATTCTGGACTGAAATTTCATCCATGGTCAGATGTGGCTTTGGTTATAAAATTGGTAACCAAGAGGTGTTCACTTTACCAAAATGGCAAAAGTCGAGGCAATGCCTATTTACAAAAATAGAACACTAAATTCCTCTAATTTTCTTGTTGTAAAGCTATAAAAGTGTATAAGCCTACTGGTGTTTAAAATTGGTCATTTTCTGCAGTAAAACATGATAGATCATTTTGCTTGACGTAATTTGGTTAGATTTTATTTCTGCTTTAGTCATTAGGATGCATAAAAATATGTCTTGATGCTTCCCTGCTTAAGAATTAAGATAGTGAAATCCAGCCCATCGCTGACCTTTCATACTGAATTTTGTATCCGTAGAGTGTTTTTCATTCAGTTATACAATAACCTATGGTATGGATAATTGCCATTTTCTTTTACTTTTAGTGTTTCTTTTTAAAGTTGACCAAACAGTCAATTGCAGTTGGCACACTTTTGATTCAATATATATTAAAATGCACTGCTATGCAAGAATTATTGCTTTATTTAAATGAATAGTTTTAAAAAACCCAAACAAGTCTTAAATGTTAGCTGTACCCAGAAACTGCTAACTTATTCCTTCAAAATATTCTTAATGGTGCTGTGAGTCAAGACTATACAAATTAATGATCTCTAAAACACTAACTTGATTTTATTTTAATATTTTAACTTCACTTTTTTTTTGCCTTAATTCAAGACATTAAACAACTCATGTCTGAAGTAAATCACGTATGCAAATTCAGAGCAACAAAATTTTCCTGACAGTCATTAACTGTGTTTTCTAACTGAAAATATTTTTCCTCAAGTACAATAATATTAGAGATTTTTTTCAATGCTTTCACCTCGATTTGCACAGTGAAACAATAGTGGCCCAAAAATCTTTATACACTGATTCAGAAAAGTAAGACAGATAACAAGAATTTTATTTTTCCACAACACATTCAACCTTGTACTGCAACAGTGAGGTAGTGTTCTCTTTGTACTTGATCATGATTAGTAGTTCAATTTTATAGATTCACGTACTGTAATTAATGCTAATTGCAAGAGATTAGAATTATGTATTGGTACCTAGTGACCAAGCTATGTTGAGCTAAATGAAAGTAAACAATAGCAATTGTTAATTTGAAGCCATCAGATATGGATGTAGTGGTCGGCTGGGGTGAGGGGGAATGCCTGCTGATTATGGACAGATATGGGACACTTCACAGATGTGCAGAAGAAACCATAGACCAAAATGAGCAAAACCAGCAGTTCAGTCTGTATTTAAGTACCTACATCA